TGGGGGGAAAGGGGGGGGGGGGGGTGTAGTCGAAAATTTGAAACTTTTGTCGGTAATTTAGGCTTGGCGCAGCCACCAAAAAAGTGAATTTCCACCACTGAAAGAAATTATTGTATGTGGACGATTTGACATCAGCAGGCAGCAACGATAGCCAAACGTTCAATATCTACAACCGGTCCAAAGAAATTATGAGCGAAGAAGGATTTAATTTAAGAAAGTGGAATTCAAATTCCTCCACACTTCTTGAATCCATCAACAAAGGCGAAACCCATCAAGATCCCTTAACCAAATTCGAAAGGAAAGTTATCGCCGAGGATGAATCACACACGAAATCTACGATCGGTCCCAATAACTCGAACAGGGAGAAATCAGTAAAGGTATTTGAATCGAATTGGAACACTCGTTCTGACAAACTGTTCTTTGATTTCGAGAACTTGATCACTCATGCCAAGTCGTTGCCAATCACAAAGCGGGCATTGCTTAAACTGACAACCAAGATCTTTGATCTTTTGGGTTTCCTTAACCCATTCACAATTCGCTTGAAAGCGATGTTCCAGATACTCTGCTGTGACAAAATCGAATGGGATGAAGAGTTACATGGAGATTCACGCAAAAGATTCAATTCCTTCGTTTCTGATTTGCAGCAACTGTCCAACGTTAGGATACCTAGATGTTATTAGATCCAAGCAAACCAACATTCAACTTCATGGATTTAGTGACGCATTTCAACAAGCATTCGCCGCAGCAGCTTATCTGAGGTCAACCTACGAAGCTGGTTGCGTAGCAGTCAAGTTTGTAGCATTGAAAACGAAGGTTGCGCCCACAAAAAAACAAAGTATTTCGCGTCTGGAACTGCTGGAAGTAGCAACCACGATTAGTAGCAACCATCAAGGAATCTTTGTCTCAGCCGCTATAGACACTGAAACGTTCTATTGGGTTATACTCTATCACTACATTGTATCGGATACAGAATGTTAAAAGTTGGAAGCAGTATGTCGAACATCGAGTCCGAGATATACGCCAATTGTCAAACAAGGAACAGTGGAGATTTTGTCTGGGTTTGCAAAATTCTGCGGATTAACCATCCCGTCGTTTGAACGGAGAGGAGCTTGAAACAAACACAGTGTGACGGAATGGTTCCGAATTTCTCGGCCAATCCGAAAAATCGTGAACCGTACATCCAACAAGTAAAAGCGTTCCAGAGAAAGCAATTAAATAAATTGTAAAGAATCATCTGACCGTTATGCATTCGTTTGCAACTTCTGATAACCACCGAGGATCAACGACTCGTCTAGATAAGATCATTGACTGTAATTCATACAGCGCGTTGACACGATTATTGCGGGTTATCAATATTCTAAAGGAGAAACGCCGAGAAGAACGATCGAGTAGTTCACAAGTGAATGCATTTGCAGCAACAGAGATTAACCAAGCCGAGTCTATGTGGTTACGAACTGTCCAAATGTCATCCTTCGAAAGTGAATTAGATTTTATCGAAAACAGTCGTGATTGTTGTCCACCAGCTCATGTTATATTGCGATGTAAAGGGTGAATTAAAAATGCCACAATTCCTGAGTCCTCAAAGAACCCAGTTTTACTTCCTTCAAAACATCAATTCTCCAATCTGATAATCTAAGATGTGCATAAGGAAATCATGCACTCATGTATTCGCCAGACACTGGTTACTCTGCGAGAACGATTTCGGGTCCCTTACGAAAATCAACACTATTTTAACCCTATTTTATCCCTATTTTACTTTCTATTTTATTCCTATAGAAAAGCTATTTTATTTTTAACCCTATCATATTGCTATCACATATACAAATCCTATATTAAACCTATTAGAAC